CAGTATTGACACTGAGCAGCAGCCACACCTATGACATAACAGCCCAGCAACAATGTGCGTCACATTTTCTAGAACACAGTCAAACAGAAAGCGTATGGTGAAATATGGGAGAGAAACAAGAGTATAAGTGGGGTAATTAGCACCACATGCTCTTTGTTTATTGACATATGAAGGAGATAGTCATGCTGGATTCTCCAGGAGAGTTTTCACAAATTCGCCAATATGTCATTCAGATGTGGAGGTGAAGTTTGTTGGGTTTTTTGGAGTTTGGTTGAAACACAAAGCAGCATTCATAAACAAGAGGACTGGTTTGTGTCAGTAGAAGGGGCCCTTTGCTGGGTCTTGTGCTCATTTGGATATTTAAGTCAACAAACCCAACATTCCTTCTTTGCTATCACTTTTCATATGCTTTATTTTTCGTTTTGAGGCTTTCCAAGTACCTGTCAAAAGAGATGTTATTGCCCTTTTTTTTTCACATTTAAAAAGAAAATTAATCTTCACTGCACCCACTGCACTAAATCACTTGAAAGCATTAGTGTAGCTTTAAAATTCATTCAACAAAAGATCATGGGCTTCATGACAAATAACGTTTTTAACCTCTTGATTTCTGGTTCAAAGGGTTATAAAGAGAAAAATGACAAACATTCCCGTGTTTTACAGAGCGAGGTGTCCACTTTTCACTTTTGAGTTGTGGTTTATTTCTCACTCACGGGGGTCAGTTGACTGAACGAGTTGAGGCCAACAATGATTAAGCTATGTGTTATGGTCAGTGCCACCCACCTGAAGATAATCACTGGCTCCTGGGGTGCAGATAAGTGTACACAGTCTCAAGTCATTTACAGCTGAGGCCGCCTCAGTTAGCTGCTGATGTTGTTTCATTACCACCTGCACTGTGGTGTGAACTGAAAAATCGCTTCCCTCTGGCTCAAACTGATTGCAGGTGGAGACAGTCTGAATTGCTGCGAATACAAAAGCTAGAAGTTATATCAGACATGTCAAGCCCTCCTTTTTTCCCCTTGTGCCCCACAATGATTTGTTTGAAAAAAAAAAAAACTTTAAAGACAAGATTATGACTGATGTTGTAATTTGGGTGCCAAAGTAAAACAGTGATTTTGTAAGCATTCATTTTTCAGAACATATTCAATGTTATTTAGCCTAATGGAAAATGTGCTGAAGTTGTTGAATACTAAAAAAACATTTATTTTGCTAAAATTATGCGTTTTTCTGGTTTAACTGCAGAAGACTTTGGACCCAATCCAAAACAGACCTTTGCAAAACCTTCCAGAACCCATCATGGATAACTTCATTTTGTAAAAAAGAGCACACTTTTTCTTTTTCTTTTTTCAAAACAGTACCAGACCATTTTGGTAAAGTCTACAGTTTACTTTAATCATTATGGTCAAAATATTAAACAGTCATCTTCCTCATTTTCTCCATCAATTACAATTACAATCACCATCAACAGCAGATATTCTCATCTTATCAACAGCAGTCGTAACTGTCAGCATCATCACCCTCTTCATCTGTCATCACATCACCACCGTCATCATCACTTTGTCATCTTAGCCATCTTTAGCAGCAGCATTTGAGCCAAGGTTTAATAAATTAGGAGGTACATAACAAAACACTTCCGGCTGTCAAGTCAGTCACCATAACAAAATGAGGTATATTACACTCACTTCACTGTCAACTATCAACAACAGTTAAAACTTAATTTGCATTTGAAGCAGCACATTCTGTAACACTCAAAACAAGTACAGTGTCGTCATAAATTACATGTACGTATATTAAAAAGACACAAAAATACTTTTCACTTTGTCATTTATCTAAACCTGTCAACATGTATCATTTCATGTTTAGCTTGTTTTTTCACCAATAACCATAGTCATTGTTTATGAGAAAAATAACTACTCTACATCAGTGCAAAAAACATCAGCGAGAAATTACCATGGAAAGCTGAATTAGGGTACAGAAATACAGTGGCAGATTCTAGGTAATGTTAATGAATGGAAGTGAATAAGGCAATGATTTATTCTGTCTAAATTGTTCAAGATGTTAAAATGTTAACGTGAATGGAAAAACTAAACCACCTTATTTTACAGAATTTAAGGCATCAGATGTCTCGGAGTGCCATACAGTACTACACAATGCATCATGTATCCAAAACAACCATTTCTCCTCTGTTTTTATCATAAATCCTTAAACTGGTGGACACAAAATAAAAGTAAACATCTGTATGTATTAATTGTTAATTACATTTTTTTTTTAAATTTATCATCTCTTATATGCAGCTACTAACATTTGGCTCACTGGGCGTCACTGACAATTGTGGCACTGTGTGTTCTAACTGTAGATACCACATCTCACTTATAGCTCCCCTCCCCCACACACATATGCAGTCTGAATGCACTATGTCCAAATCTCCTGAAAATCCCAATGGAAGAACATAAACTGAAAATAAGATGTCTATAAAATAAATGTTCATGAGAAATATTATTCTGTATTCTCTGTCTACTGAGCAGAGCTCAATCTAAAGCCATCTGGTACAGGGCTTCCTGTCCTCTGGTACAGGAAAAATAGAACATAACAGGTAGTGGATCAGATGATACCTTGTCAATCAAGAGGGCTCGTGACCTGTCTTTGAGAATTGCCTGAAAATAACTATACAGTACAAGCAATATGACTAAATTAATATACAGTATGTATCTAGTCAATGTGCATGTAAAAGTGTGGTACTGCCATCCTTCTATAGCTATCCATCCCATTGAAAAGGGCCTATGCTGATTATTGGTTGGCATGTATCCTTCCTGAAAATACTGAAATGTCATAATTTTGATTTCCATGGATACATCTAACTATAAAGCTGAAGATCTAATTATGCAAGAGGCAAAGCTTCTCTGCCAATAAAATAATTTGAATGGGAAAAGATTCTGCCCCTTCTAGTTCATTGAATTGACTCATTTGACCTATAACCAATATACAGTACCTTATGGTTTTCACTCTGAAATATTTCATAGACTGAACTCATATTTATTCCCTGATTTGTGTGTAATTAAACTGATAGTGCTTAAAATACACGTGCCACATTACACTACCCAGCATCAATTCAAACAGGTTCAGATTCCTTGTTTTAAATATGCGATGCTGCCCGATTGTTTAAGTCATTTTTTGAGCAGAAATGCCCAAAACTTCAGTGGTTCCAGCTTCTTAAATGTTATTATGTCATGTTTTTCTTTTATGATAATAAACAGAATATTTTTTGACATTTTATGGACCAAACCAATAACTTATAAATTATTGATAATGTTGCAGTGCTAAAATAAATTCTGGCAAGAACTAATTTCTTTTTGTTTTTTATTCTGGTAAATAATTGTATAGTGAAGAGAGGTTATTTGTGTGTTGAAGGCTCGCAGGTTACAGGTCTCTTCTTCATAGAATGAAGGTTATAATCCATACCCATCATTTCAGCTCTTACACCCAGTGCCAAAGACCAAACACTTTGAATGTATAGTCTGTATTTTGTAAATGCTTCTGGAAATATGAGTGTTACAGGATGATTTTCAAATATTATCTATTGCTTTTTCAGTTTAAGACCTTTACTGTTTTTATGTAAAATCACACCTCTTGAGGTAGAAACTATTTGATCAGAGGTGACAGTTAATATTACGAAATCTAGTGCTTAAAATAGTACCCTAAATATTGTGTTTCGGTCATAAGGAGGGAATCTACAATAACTAGTTATCTTAGCTAAACTTCCACTTTCATAGTGATCATACCAGCCTGTAGCTAATAGCAAGCTAATTTGCTAGCCTGCTAACTTTTCAAGAATACAGAACTGTTACGATCAAACTGATGGAAAATACCATCAATATTTTTAAGCGAGCCACTATAGAACATAGTTTAGACATGTTGTTCGGTTGCGGGCTCTGACACAAGAAATTAATCTCAATTAGGAGCATGATGATTGCCTTCACTGAGCCTGACTAACATACTAACTAGTGCTAGCATGTTCAATAACTGCAAACTGATTTTATTGTGAAAAAAACAGAGTTGTCCAAACAAATAGGAGGTGCTGCCTTCATGATGCTGTCACAAATATCACAAAGGAAAATAAAGACATCATGTACATTTCCCTTTGTTGTCCTTCTTTCCCAAGTGTGTGAGACAGCATGAAGCAGTCTCTGTGGGTTACTCCTCTCTGTGAATAACAACCCGGGCAAGTACAGTCGGTCACGCTCCACTTGCCTAAACAACCTTAGGGGCATATGTCAGTCATGTCAGAGAAGGCAGCCGGTTTTGAAGGCCCATTTTTCCCATTAAAACTCTGCTTGGCCGGGTCAGTAAGTCCTTCCAAATGGGCGCTGACAGCACAAACAATGGCAATGTGTTAATACACAAGAAACACATTATCTCGCTTTTTTTCCTTCCATTGGCCCTCACACTACAAATGCAATGTATTACAAAATAAAAGTAGTCTAAGAATTTACTTAACTGGGTGTTTTTTTCCCAATCAATTCTGAAAAAACCTGAGGCGGACTGTGCAGCGGCACTGTCTGCTGTTCTGTATGTTTTCATCTTTTCTACAATTAGGGGATAAAATATATAATTAATTTTGGTTAGGCTAGTTTTCAGTGCTACATACAGCGTGAATGTATCAACTGGTCACTTGCAAACACTTTGCACAGACTAAAACAGACATACAGCCTTTCCCATCTTTTTTAAAGATATTATGAATATATGCTACAGTAATGTCGAAACAAACATATACTGCAAAATCAATATATCTTATGTCAGGCTGAAAGCTACTCTAGTTAAAGTAATGAGGCTATGAACTGGCCGTTCTTCTTGGGTGAGCACATCTGTCTCTCCAGGTGGATGTGAAATCTGCCATTGTTTAATGTCCTCGCAGCAAGTTCACTGCACTGATCTGCTGTTCTGGGAACTCAGTATGCAAGCACAGTGGTATTCCTGTGCAGGGATTTGCCCTTGTCTGTCATGACTCCTCTTTTTTTCTTTTTCTTTTTTTGGCATGTCAGACCAAATTCAAGCAGACGTGGACAGGAACAACCAATATTTGTCCTCTTCTTAATCTACGATAAATCAGCTTCACGTTTCCCTGACAGTTGCCAGGTCAACCCTCAGACCATATCCCATCAGTCCACTCTCTGTCACTCCACCGTCGGTATGCTGTTGCCTTGGTTCTCGTGCCCGCGCCCGGACGTGTTCAAGGAGCTGCGCTTCAGCAGCCTGTTGATGATGTCAGTGCATGTCTTCTTGTACTGGTGCCGCAGCAGGGAGTACACGAAGGGGTCGCAGGCCGCCTTGCTATAAGCTAAGCACTTGGAGACAATTCCCCAGTGAGGATTGATAGGCACCGCTGGAAATAACTCCACGATCCTGCAGGCAAGCATAAAGAGAGGGGGGGTGAGAGCAGAGGAGAGGCAAGTCAACACACTGGAAAAGACATGCATGCCCTAAGCTTATTATGCAGAAATAAAAAATACATTTGCAAGAAATTGTTACCCTTAACATCACCATTTTTTTGGCTGGGAGCAGGGTGCTTCTTTACTCCTGTGTGATTATGTAAAGAACCAGCATTTATTTCTGAAGAGAGTCACCTTAGAAATATTTTGTCTTAAGTTATTGTTTGCAATCGCCCTCATGATAAAATATAGGCAGCTGGCAAGTGAACCTCCATGAAGAGCTTCCCCCTCTTTCTTTCATGTGTGTGGATTTATAGTGTGAGGCTACTTTTCACCTCATTTCTCATTTGCAGCCAGCAGCATTTCATGTCAGAAAAGGCAAAGGCAGAGCCCCCGGAAGAATAAAACAGACCTGTCTAAGCAGTAATGAGTGTCTGGAAACAGGCCAATTAACTGTGGTTGTGATTTAATATAGCATTAGACTGAAGGCTAAGAAGAAAAACCTTAAATGACAGAGGACGATGAGTTCTTCCAGCAAATCTGATGGGAGAAAAACCCTCGTGTGCTTAAAGTTTCGTATATTTGATATGAGGGTCACCTAATGAGCTGTACAGTCTCGCCTGTTGTCTGCATCTCGAAGTTGCTAATCTCACTCATGCTCATAAACAAATTGAATTGGTGCTTCCACTCTAATTTTTGTCAAGTGTTGAAATATTTTACCGTATGTAGTATCATAAAAGGTGTAAAATAAAATTTAAAAATCGCTGATCCTCTACTCTTGCACTCTGTATGATTACTCCGTCAACAATTGAGCTCTGTCAGCACATTAACACTGGCCCAACATGGGCCAGTAGCCATCACTGGCATTTGCCCACACACTCCACAGCACTGGAGTGAACAGGAGGTTAAGTCAGCTGCCACATCGCACAGCAGGGTTTTTACTATACACATGATGACCCTGACAACAAATGAGCACTGGAGAGGCAGCGGAGGAGCTTTTAGTGTAATATATTCAGATTGTAATTAGTAAACTGCCATTTGCAGAATGAGAGCATGCACAGTGCTGCTGTGGTCATTCATTACTGACAGTTTACTAATAACACAACAAATTGTAGCTGCTCATGGTCCAAGTGACTGAAAAACTCAGTGACAACCTGTTTTGATTAAAAAAAAAGTCTAAATTAAAGTCTTAATTAAAGATGTTAATGAGCAATATTTAGAAGATGATATATCTCCCACCAGACAATCATTTAATTTTTATCTTCTGTCTTAAGCGAGCCACTGTGCAACACAGCTGTACATCTTCCTAGTAGAGATACATGTTACATAAGATGTAGGGTACTGATATATGATGTCTTAAAGGGCCAGTACTTTACAGTATGGTCTTTTTACTTAATATGCAAGAAATCAATATATTTAACTGTATTACACTAACAGAAATGGACACTTGTGACATAGGATATCAATCAAACTGTGACTTTACAAGGCCAGACCCAATTAAACTTAAAAAAAGAGACAGGAAGATTTTTTTCTAGAATAGTTATTTTCTGTTTTCAATGGTGGTCCTGGGGCTGTTTCACTGCCATTCGCAATTAGCTTCACTTTTTTTTATTTCCAGCTGTGAGCCGCTCCTTTAAATTGACATGTTTTGAGTATATTTTAATTTGTCACTTTTCCAGTATGGGAATGAGGCACAGATATATTTTCTGACCTTTACTTAGTAATTTACTCATCTATTGGTACCCAGCCATACCCAGGAGATAATTTTGGTTTTCTGTGTCCAGGCTTTGAGATAGGCCGAACTTTCTCTGAGATTAATGCACTGACTTGGGTGCTCACAACATAAAAAAAAAAGGCATTTAAAATCTTCCATAAATTGTCCCGGTTATTCTGGATGATAAATGAGGAGCCATTTCTTTGCTGGAAAGTCACAAAACTGACAAAACAAGGTGAGAAAAATGAGGAGTTAGACAAAAAATCGGATGATTTGATATTCTCATCTCCTATGTATAATTATTTTAACCTGTACAAATAAAACTCTCATATCCACTTGCACATCACACACTTATAACTCACTCACTACAGGCCTCATTTGACATCCTGTTTTTATCCAGTGATTGATGCAAGTGGATTCTACCTAACTAACTGAGATGCACCCATCGAACTTGAGGAGAAAAGTGCTAATGCAGCAGCAACAGCAGAGCAGAGGCATATTACTTATCACAAGGTCAGCCAATCTCATCTTCCAACTCTTGCTGGTGTGGAGAGGAAGCAGAGACAAGGCAGAGGGGAGGAAGTGGGGGCAGTCGACAGGAGAGGAGGGAGATTTGGGGGATACCAGCAAAACAAAAGGGCTGTGTATACGCCGCAGTGTGTGTGCCAGGCCAGCACGGTTTCCCTCTCCTCTTCCCTCCCTCTCTCTCTCCAAGACTCACCTTGTGATCACATAGGGAGCGAAGCAGAGCATGAAGGTGCCAATGAAGGTGCTGATCTTCCTCGTCGCTCTCTGTCGTCGCCTCTTCTGCTCCTCCAGGCAACGCTGGCGAACACTGGGAACACAGTGTTTATAATCAGCGGGACACACTCAGGGAAGACCTGAAAGTGTCTCTAGAAATCTCATAAAGGACAGCGAGGAGTGGGTGTAGGCTACTGCTGTCCATTTGTGCTGTGCAGGGGTTTATTAGAGAAGCAGCCAGCAGAGGCTGAGCTGAGGCAAAAATAACTGATTTCTCCCAAAGACACTTTGTAATACAAAGTGAGAAATCCCTTTTATCCAGAATTATACATATACAACACTTTACATGTGTGCATGTGTGACTTTAGGTGTGAACCTGAATGCACCACGGCTGTGATGTCATGATGACACTCTGCTTCTAGTAATAGTTTATGAAAATTAGGTCATCAGCGTGAGCAAAGACAGCCAGGAGTTAGAACATCAGTATGCACCTAATAGAAAGTAGCTCACAGTAGTAACATACACACACACACACACACATTGGGTTTTTTAGCCATACTGTATGGAGGCAAAGTAAAGGAATCGCTGTATGACATTTCAGTGTAATCAGATTTTGCATCCCCCTCTGAATACTGAGGGCACAACTCAAATGTCAGTGCAAAGCATCATTAACTGTACTGTTTTGTCCTGACACAGGTACAGAACTGTGTCATTTCAGGTTTTAAAATCAACATGAAGAGAAATAATGGCACCAGTGACAGGACATTTCCCCTCTTTTTTAATGAGGGTTTGAACAGTTTGTTCTTTTTCTTCTTTTAACTGAAGAATCTTGAAACTGCCTTATTATAGGCTTTTCCAATACGGATCTACATTACAGAAAGCTCTGGGATCAGTGATATTAAGTGCTTTGTGAAGGTGTAATAAAAAAACCCGAACAAACAGGAATAATAAGTTAAAGGAGCTCACCTGGGGTGTATATCCACCAGCAGCACCAAAGTTTGCATTGTAATAACATCGATCCTCTTACAGTGAAACCTTGCCACTTTAAGCACTTTGAGGTATGTGACACATAACACTATAAAAGACAGGAGAAAGGTGAAGGAGTGGAAAAATACGGTGAAGATAACAAACTGGGTCCGACTGCTCGCCCTGGGGTTGGACAGGGTGCAGGACGCGTAAAGCCGGTGATATCCCACCCAGGAGAGGCAGGTGGCCACCGTGGAGAAGGACATGGAGTGCGCCCACGTGTACCCGAGCACAAAAGCCGCGTCTTTATGGCGCATTTTGGAGTGATACCTCAGGGGGAACACCACCGCGATCCACCTGTCGATGCTCAGAGCTGCCATGCTCAGCATCGAGTTGGTGGACAGGAAGGTCTCCAGGAATCCCACGATTTGGCAGAATCCGTCTCCCCCCGGCTGAGCCTTACTGACAAGTCCCACCAAAGTGAGCGGCATGTTGGACACGGTCAGCAACAAGTTGCAGAAGGTGAGGTTGAGGTTGAACAGACCGGGGACCTGCTTGCGGATCTCCGGGTTGTACAGAAAGCAGATCAGCACCAGGACGTTGGACAGCAACGACACTATAATAATCACAACCACCAACACAGAGAGAATTACCTCCGCAGTGTCCATCCTGTGGGCCCCCGAAACTCACTTATCCCCACTTTTTGTGCACATATCCATTCTTGTTTCGCCGCTGCAAAATGGCATTAATCACCCATAACCGTGTCCATGCATCCCCAGATCTCTCCACCGGTGGAGATCCCCGTTTTCTCTCCACTACATTATCTCTGTGCGCGAGCCAGCAAAGATGATCAGGAGGATTCCGGCATGACAAGAAGTATGTGTGGGGATTCGTAAGGTCGATTTCCCCTCTTTTTTTCTCACACTAAACTACAGGAAACAAGCTCTCGTGCCAAAGCTGCTCTATTCTGGCACTGCGTCTTGCGGTGGGGTTTTGTCGTCCTGTGATGCGCTCTTGAGGCATCACCCCTCCGCACACACTGCACAGTGTGTGGGCTACTTGATCTCTCCCCCGTCTCCTCTGAGAAACAGTCAAAGACAAAGGACATTAATAAGGGTGAAGTGGGGGATTCTTCGTAGAAATAGGAAATGGCATAGATTTCCCCCTCAGAGAGTTTCCTTCCTTTCACCTAATCCAAACTTACCTTTGATGGAAATTTGTGGAGCAGATTTAACAGTAAATGGCACTTCTGTAAAATGTGTAAAATGATTTCGTTTGTTCACTTCCTGGGTTATTTTCTTTTTAAATAAATAATTTATTGTGAATTTCCTACAGCATTAAATGATGTCATCCTTGTCTGATGTATTCAAAGTGCTTTTTTTTTCTTTCCAAGGGAAGGGAGACCTGGCCAAGAAGACAGCAGTGTCATGGCAATAAATTCATGACAGGTAAAGAAAACTGCCACACACTGCACAACAGAGCATAGACAACATCTTATGAAGAAGCACATATTTTAATTCTCAAAATTCATCACACCATATGTCATTTTTTTTCACTCTGGCCCATTTAATAAAACCTTTTTCTTTTTTTTTAATCAAAATGTCTGATAAAAGACAAATGAATTCATGTTAAGCTGGTCAAGTTTGGTTTCATTGCATTGAACCATCATTGCATTCCAGCAGCATCTCATCCTCCTCATGCTTTTCTCAAATATCTTCACTAATTAAGTCTGCTTCATCAGATTGATAAGGAGCAACATCTTCCGTTCCTCTGGAAGCCGGATGACGCCCCCGCACTCTGCTGCTGCCCCTCTGGACTTGGAGTGTGGAGAATTTTTCCTCTGAAGCGTGGGACTCATTGGAGTGTGCTGCGGCACGTGAGCCACTGAAAGCGCTGGAGCAGGGTGAGGTGGTGGTGTGGTTGCAATAAGGGAAGGGTGGGGTGGTGGTGGTGGTGGTGGTGGGGGGGTGTGTGAGAATGTGTGGGTGGAAAGAGTTATTGTTGCTGCAACACACATTCACATGGTGTTTGACTGTGGAGATGTGATACAATGCAGGCTGCTGTGTTTGCCTCACTTTCTCCAGTGTGGCAAAAGGTGAGATGGAACAGGATAAAAAAAAATAAAAAAAAAAAGGTAGAGGGAAAACCTCGGATGTGAGGCTCATTAAAATGCCATCCTGTAATGGTGTCTGAGAAGTACATGGGATGGATGTTTGCTCCTGATGCAAAAAGAAAGCGGCTGCAAGGGAAGGACTAGACAACTCTGCCAGCTGCTGGGTGACATTATTCTGAAATGCAGCCCCATTTTGGTCCTGAGTAAGACTTTCGCTATGATGGAGGCATTTCCTTCATTATACTCTCACATGTCATAGGAGCAATCAGTCTTTGGAGAGATGACACAATCAAGCGCTGTCATGCAAGCGCCTCTGCAGCTCTCTCCTGTCAGTTCAGAGGGCCTTATCAGCACAGAGCCACCAGTTGATCTCAAACACAAGTTCAGCTTTTCTTTTTTGCCGGAATCATTTTAATTATTCTTTTCATAATTAAATGCCAGCAACACGGACAATAGTGCTTGTGAAAAAAAAAGTCATTCTAAAAACATAGCTTAGAGGGGATTGGGTGATATGGGTGGATTTTGTTGTTTTAGCTGGAGCTCCAGCTAAAATTTTCTTTTAAAAAAGTGACTAAGATGAGGATTTTTGCTGAAGACAAAAACAAAGCCACATAACAAACATCCCCATTGAGCATCATGCCACATTAGACAGATGCGTATGGAAATAGCTTTTGATAAATAAGGATGCTGTTTTTTCCAAAATACAAACTATCCTCTTTCATTCCACCTGAAAGAGTATTTATTAGATGAGAGCATTATGTGTATGCAGATCCATGTAAATGAGGCCTAATTCAAGGTGGACACATGGGCTTTGACGACTCCGGGCCTCAGGTAATATCACCTAGAATGAATAGAGCACAGCAGCTCCTTTGTCTGGTGTTGGATGAGTGCATCTCATTGATAAATCATGCCAAATACAGACACAATAAAAGCACAAAATACAAAACCATCGTAAAACATGCATGAGTTATAGAGTGTTTTATAAACTACAGTTAAACTAGCAGGTTTCAGTTTGTTTATATTGTTGACTTAAGGGCTACATTTCACTATTTTCATTATTATTTATTCTGCTTTTAATATGTTGTTTAGTCTATAAAAAAATCAAAAGATATACATACAGCTACGTACCAGAACTAGGCAGCGAATCCTCACGTTAGAGAAGCTGGAACCATTGGCTGAAACCTTTTGGTTTTACTGTGTTTGAGACAAGATCTCAAGTTTGCAGGTCCGCACTTTGAAGATAATACCTCTTGTCAGAAGATTTAACAAGTGCAGGACTTGACTGTGAGAGATGGTAGGACGAGAGAGAGCCTGCAGCACTCCTCCCTTTTTGCTGTGACAGTGTGGATTTGAATTCGCTGCCAGTTCCAATTCCACACTTGAGTTCCCTCGGATTGGCAGGCCAGCATAAATTTTAAACCTAGATGTATGCTTTAGCTGCTACGTTTTCCTGACTCACCTTTTGAATATAGACTTGTCACTTATATTTTCAACATATCTCAACTAGTGATGCAGGATTTCTAATGCTGAGTTGAGAGGAACTTGCTTAAGCAAAAAGTTAGGGGAATTCGGTTCAAATGTGACAACTTGGAAAACTTGTAAAATTCAGACTTGAGACGACGCATTACATAACTCAGGAGAGTTCAGCCGCCTTATGGCTCCAAAAGGTCTCATAGGCTAAGACAGGAGGGACACTCACCCAGACAAGAAGCTTTATACAAACAGAGTGAAATGCCAACCTGCAAGTAAGGAGAGGGGAAGGTGTTGACAGTGCTAACGATAGTGCTGAGAAGTCAGCTTCATTTTACCCCTGACTTAGCCATCACCGCTGCCCACAGCCGGTCTGATATTGAACAGCTTGAGCTTGCACGTACAGAACAGTATCTTGAAACCCATACAAGGTTATAGTTGTCCAAAGTTTTTATTGATATCTTATAGTGAAAATGTTGAGCTTGTGTTTAAGGTTTCTACACTTGCTGTATGGGTTTACATTACAGGAAAGGTTCAACATTTTGGGAGAGACACTTATATGCTGTTGAAAATGTCAGATGAACACCAAAGTCAGTAGTATACATCCTCTGGGGACCATCAATGACTAAGTTTAATGGAAATTCATCCAATAGTTGTTGAGATATGTCAGTCTGGACCAAAGTGGTGGACCGGCATTTCCATCCTGAGCGTGGTTGAAAACAATAACCTCAAACACTGACACTTCTTATTTCATTAACCACCTTAACAACACAATTAACAGATAAGGCTTAGTCAGCAACAAATACATTCAGAAAATGAAGTAATAACAGCAATTGCTTTAATAAATGAAACACAACCACATAAAACACAAAAAGCTAAAACTGAGGACTTATATTTACATCCTTTGGATATATTATGAACTAGAAGTTCATTTTGACTCTAATATTATTGAGGTCACAGTTCAGGAAACACATAAAATGAAAGCAATAAATACATTGTTTATACCAACAGATTTTGAATTTGGTATTTTAAATTCTGGAGCTGAAGTCCTCCAACCTGAACGCCTGTTTGTCCCTATAACCTCTGATACGACCCATAGGGGCGTCACCTAAAATAGCGAGTCTCCCATATCCTGTCGCCCCCACCCCCGCCGGAAACTCCCAGGTCACCACTCTAATTGTTCAAGTCACATTCAGCTTCATTTAAACATATCCATTAATAACGACAAGCTTCAACGCTCAGTGGAGCTCTTGTGATGAACCTGAACAGCGCTTTTGTCACATCATATATCTCCCTGTACCTGTTCTCATCAGACAGCTCTATAATTAGTAATTGGTTCAGTCAATGAGAGATCATGACAGCTACAGGCTTTATGAGGCTGTTGGAAACCAATGAAGCTGCAGGGCTAAAAATAAACCCCCGTTCAGATCCCTTTTTGTCTGTGATTGCATCATGTTATCAGCCACGTCTGCTTGTTTAAACAATGCCGGGATGTGTTTGATTATGTAACGACAGGTTTATCCTTTGAAGATCAAGCCTGTTAAAGCTGACATAATTTGATGGTTCACTGCTATTAAAAAAATATGTTCTTTAGTACACACAAACACTGTCTGCACTTATTTTACGTCCACATTGTGTAATAGTGGTGGAAAGTAGTCAAGTTCTACCCTTGAGTATAATTTTGAGGTACTTTTATTTGAGTTTTTCCCTTTTATGCTACTTTATCGTTCTACTCTGCTGCATTTCAGTGGGAAATACTTCACTGTTCACTCCACAATGTATATTTGGCAGCTGAGATTTTACATAAAAAACATATGGCATATGTTAACAGCTTCATGGGGCTGTAATGTTCATTGTAAATAAAACCAAACGGGCATATAGATGGGTAAACAAAAATGTAGATATGATGGGGCTAGATGAGTCAGTGGATCACCAAAGTCAGTAGAATTCATCCTCTGGAGACCATGAATGTCTGTACCAAATTTCTTGGCAGTCCAGCTAATATTACACAATATTGTAAGTTTTGCTATTGTTACATAGCCAACGTTAGCATTAACAGCTGTTGACTTAGCGGTCCAGAAGAAA